GACGTGCAATCCACAAAGTGCAAGGATGACGATCTGATGGCCACAGATGAAGTATGTGACGAGTTAAGTTGATAAGATTTATCATAAGTTTCGGGCGGGACGATGCGATCGAGCCTGTGTTTGCAACTGTTGCCGCCATCATGGCGGCGCCAAGAACTGAACTCATCGCCATTGAGCTCTCGAGAAAAGGCTAACTTGAGTAGTGGAGTAATTGGATCTATCTAATAATAGGGATGGCCATAGCTCGGCCCGAGCAAAAGCACGCCTGCCCATCATCGTTGCACGCAAGTATACTGCCCCAGAGTGAAGTCAGAATCAGTTTGACGATATGATCAACCAGATTTGAATCGTCATATGGACGGACGTATGTTTAACATACTCTAACAAGATTTACCATACCACCTATACTGGTTATGATAACCGAAAGTCAGCATACTGGGATCACTGATGGTCGAGACTTTAATCCCAGAAGAGTATGGATAGGGATTCATGCCTTGACTAGAGCGGTGAATTTGCCCAGCACCTTAGTTTGAATGGTATGACTGGAAGCAGAGTAGATGAACTTTTGCAGATCAGGCTCCTGGAGTTGAAACCTTGGACAGTTCGATCTGACAACCGCTAGAAATTTCCGGTAATGGCCCAAGGAGCCGCCATCAATATTGAATATATCGAATCCTGTCTTCTTCACCATCAAGTCATCCGAATATTTCCAATCCTTCTGCCCACATTTGCAGCTCAGGATGAGAGGAAGCTCCGTGTCTTCCGGTTCGCCGAAGGTTGCTTCAACAGTAATATCGTCAAGAACCTTAGAATAGACCCCCTTGGGTGGGGGAGGTCTCGCTGCGGACTGAATAGTCAATAGAGCGATGATGACATTAACGAGGAGCAGCTGGATCATAATAGCCATCAGGGTGTATACTGAAGAGAGGCGACATATAAAAACTTGGTAACCGAGTCCATGATGGGCTTCAGAGAGGACACCATATGCTGCTGTCCGGTGCATG